GACCCGATCTTCATTGACCGCGATTTCTCATTCCCACCCATTAATTACCACTGCCAAATATTCTCCCTCTTTCCGCCCCTCGGAGTACCCCGCTCCCAACCACTGCCAACGCGAAATTCGCCATAACCTCAGACTTTTAGTTTGCAATCATGTCCTAACCCAACCTAGAATTAAGAATCTCCGCTACTTTCTTACGTTCAACCTTACTTCATTTTATTTTCTTTTTTTCCACACGGAAAACATCTTGCCGAAAGATTCCCGCGTTGAAGCATGGCAACCTAACCTAGATGTGGAGATTTCTCCTTGATCTATTTCTTTTTTCTGGGAATATTTTCCAAAAATCTATCGCTCCCGAGGGCATCCCCGTTGTGGAGACCGGGTAATCTCTAATAACCTTAGTTCCTGTCTGGCAACGCGAATGATTAAGAGACGAGTGACAGATCTGTCAGATGCACTCGGTCCGGCTGTGCAGTCTTCCACGTGGCCGCCGCGGTCACGTGAGCCACGTGCGTTTGACAGCTCCGTTCCGCGCGCACGCAGCCCTGTACTTTATGAGCTATGAATACGAATAATATACCGTAGTTTGTAATCGCAATGCCGTGTAATTAGTTGGTTAAATAGTGGTAGTATCGTCCGTCGGAGCCCCTTGCGCAGCACGGCTGTGCTATTATATGTATATGAACGCATGCCCCTAGGTACGTTTTAAGGTTAGGTCTCATCGAGCTACGTTTACGTCTACTTTTACGTCCACGTTTACGAATACGTTTAGGTCTCCGTTTATAAATACGTTTACACCTACTTTTAAGTCTGCGTTTACGTTTACGCCGTCCAAGATTTGCGACGTAAGTGGAGCGAACGTGAGCGGGCTAAGAGCGAACAACGAAGGCGATTTGCATAGTCTAATTTTTATTAGGCTAAGGAAACTCCGCTATGTAAACGTAGCTTTAATAATGTTAAAGAACCTCACTCATCGAACTCTTGTAAATAACATTATTTCTACCGAATATAGAAGAACATTGAACGCGTCGTGGGTCGGTAATTGTTAAGCTTGACACGGTGTAACTCCTCTAACTGTTCACGGTGTCCATATCGAGGCGGTATTCTGCTCCTTTTTTTTATATATATATTAACGGTTAAATGTTACATACTTTCGAGTATTATTCCGGGAATTTCTTAGAACCTTAATTTATTTTCGTTTACGTTGTATAAGACCTTTCAGAGTCTCTCGTGACCTGTACTGGGTGCCTGTGCTTTCGAATGTTCGTTTAAGGTACTAATTTCCGGAGGAACTTGGACGCGAAAAAAGAGCAGGATTTCAGAGCTTAATGAAAATGAGAAAAAGTGGATTCGAACAGCGCAGGGCTTTTACACTTCGCCTTCGCACAGCACTACCGACGTGTATTGTTAGGTACTGTAATTAGTTCTTAAGGACGAAGTACGCGAGTTGCACCGTCGCAAGGGTGTGATATTTCTTAGGTATTAACGACTTAAGTGGAACATTTATTTATTCGACGAATTTCGTCGGCCTTCTTTTTTTTCTTCTTTTGCATGATGTATAGGGAGACACGTTTATACGGTAGCTCGTCGTATAAGTCGAGGATAGGTCTTACAACTTTTGATATACGACTTAAGGCATGGAAAACGTCACCGCCAGACTTTTGGAAGTGACGACGAACCTGCAAAAATAAATTCTACGTCGAATTCGAGGAGACGTATTTTTACGATTTTTTAAAGCCTCTAAGCAATAAAACAACGCGGGAAAGAGTATTTATAGGTGACGTAAGCTAGTCGATCGCTATGAAAAATTGAGCTCACTTCGACCACTTTTTCATTATTTATCGTCCATCGGTATTCCAGGCACTCGTCACTTTCGAAAGTACTGGATGTCAATAGTCTGCATGTACTCAGTCATGCACAGAGAAAAAAAAAATCATTGGACTGAAATATTTCTTTGAACGGTGCCGAAGAAATATTTGGATAACTCGAAGGGTAATTATTTGGCTGAAATTACCTGGAATAAATTGGGCACAACGTTTCTTCGGAATGACGACAATTTATTTCAGTTGATTCGAGTCAAATAATTATTCTTTATTAAAATAATATTTCTTCGGTAATGTTCGAAGTAATATTTCTTTGGTTCGGTGACACTTTCTTTTTTCTCCGTGCGGTAATAGCATAACCGGTCCCTTACGGGAATAACGAAACTTAAATAACGCGACACAGTCAACATACCGCACGCTAGAAAAGTAACCGAGGCTACACGTAATACACGAGCGAAATACAAGAAGATAGTATTAACTTTTCACGGCGACGATGATACCCCTCGCCGGGGAAGGAAAAATCATTATCCCGCCATTTAGAAGTCATCCGCACTAGTGCCGACCGTACACCATTCCTACGATATATCGTAACAGTATTTCTATTGTAGCAATGGAGAAAAGAAAAAATACAGAGAACCATTAGTGAAAATCTGATTTGTTTAATTCACCCTATAAGCCCAGGCCAACGCGGTACGACAAGGTATGTAAAATAACGCAATATAAATAATAACGCCTTGAATTGATCTGTAATATCGCACTCAGCGTTTAAGTTAACCCCTTAACGCACAGATTAAAAAAAAATACTGGCCAAAAATTTCAATTTTTTTATGTAAAAAAAAACACTAGAACATTGTCTTGGCGAAAAAAATAAAATTCTCGATTATATTCGAGTGCGAAAAATTATAGTAGCATAAAATACAACGCCGCTCGAATTAAGAACAAGTTAAGGGGTTAAATAAAATTAGAGTGTAATATTACATTGCATTCGGGTAAAACTGCACCGATACGATAAACATACAATGTTATGTGTATTTTTCCATTTTAAGGTTTTTCCTATCTAACGCGTAAGGACCGAGTTGCGTGGAAAGTGTATGTAAATTTGTATCGGTACATGCAAAAACCGCGATGGCTTTCCGGGTAATTTCATCAGTTTTGAGTAGCTCAACGCCTTAATCCGTATTTCCGCGATTTCCCTACTCGCTGGTTTCCATTACAGGGGGGTAATTGCGTTAGCGAGGGTGCGTACGCGTCACGGGCGGTCATGTCACGCAGGTAACTCGGTTACGCACGTAAGCTCGGTGAGGTAATTCCCGGCACGGCCCGGTGCACGGGGCCGAGAACTCGCCCGAGGACCCCGTATAATCTAATCAAGGAAGTTCCGGTCCCCGGGATATCCGACAGAAGAGACGGCCCCTGCGACTTCCCCGACTTCCGGGCAGCCACCGTCCAGCCGAGGCCAATTCGGAACTTCGTAATCGATTTTGAATGCAGTATACCGAGCCGGGACTCGGTCTTCGAGTTCGGCCAATCCCGAAGGTCGAACTATCCGAATTCAAGTTCGGACGAAGTCGAGGAAACGGGTCCCGTTCGGGGACCGCGGCTCGCGTTTGGGAAATCGCTACCCCTTCCGGGTTTGAGATTAGGCAAAATCGATCATTCCAAAACGAACGCCTCGAGGTGAAATTTATTCTTATCGGTAACATATTTATCCAGAGATTTATTCGTACCAGTTACATATTTTCGGTACCGGGATTTTGGTTTATGGTTGGGAGATGGTGTAGGGATTTTCCAAACTAAAGCGCGGAAGAAGTCGAGGGTAGTCTCGGTTGGGAAATTTGACTCTTCTCGATCTGAGAATTGACAAAATTAATAATTCTAAAACGAATACTTCGAGGTGAGATTTATTCTTACCGGTTACATATTTTCGGTACCAGGAATTTGGTTTATGGTTGAGGAATGGTGTAGGGATCTTTTAAACTCAAGCGCAGATGAAGTCGAGGGCAGTCTCGGATGGGAAATCTGCCTCTTCTCGATCTGAAAATTGACAAAATTAATAATTCCAAAACGAACACTTCGAGGTGAGATTTATTCTTATCAGTTATATATTTAACCAGAGATTTATTCTTACCAGTTACATATTTTCGGTACCGGGATTTTGGTTTATGGTTGGGGGATGTTGTAGAGATCTTCCAAACTAAAGCGCGGACGAGGTCGAGAACAGGGTTTTGGGAATTGTGCCTCTTCACAGTCAGAAAACGGAAAAAATTGATGTTTCCAAATCGAACATCTGTAGACAAGATTAACTTTTATCGGCTACACCATTTTAGTTCAAAGCTCGTTAACGGTACAGAGAAGGTCGTTCCAACTGCAGAGGAATTGCAGCAACTTCCCTCGAGCTCTCGAGGGTCTGCGCTCTATTTCCGACGAGATGCACTTCCGCCCGAAAATCAGGCTGCAGAAGGGCCGGCGTGCATTTGCTGAATCAATCAACGACACTTGCAGTTGACTCAGCTGAATCAATAATGTCCTCTTTTCCTCACGCGCTGTTTAAAAATAATGCCGAGCAACAAGACGTACACCCGAGGGTACATACTCGAAGAGTACGCAAGGCTCTTCGTGTTTACACATCCTCGGATTTTCCTCTCCTTTCCCTCTCCAGATCTCAATGACAGATAATTCCACTTTATCCTTTTTTTCCCAGGAACGTAGGTAATTGAGAAAAATCCAACGATAACGGGCCTCTCTGTACGGGTTTATTTTAAGAACGAGACGCGGCTATTGACGATGATGAATCGGTTCAAGATGCAGATCCTCTTCTCGTGAAGTGGTCCTCGATTGAGAAATTAATCGTTCATCGACACGCGGCATGACCAGCCAGAGCATTGACCCCTTGGTTTACATGGAACGGTCTGCCTTTATTTGCTTATGATAGATTCGATGATAGTTCACCGACTAGGCGCCGACTCGTAATCATACGATTCGACCCGAGATCCAAACCACCGCCCGACCGCGCTCCTATTTAACAATGGTGGTGTGTGTTTCCATTCCCGAAACGCCATCGGGCGTCTCTACGTGCGTACATATTTACAGTAAATAAAATGGGTACCTCATATTTCACCTAGTCATTGTGATTACGACGTGAATAATGAACTAGACGTTCGGACAGATCGGAACGATTCATTCTCTCTTATACATAATTTCTTTTAATCGCCATGGCGTTTATGGGATTTACAGTGATACATTTGTACAGTTATTTTCATTTTTACATCGTCGTTTATCCCCCTTAGACCCTGGCGTTTGAAATGTTTCTGATGTAGTACATGAGTCGTACAACTGCAGCAGGTTTAACTCCGGATATTCTACTAGCTGCAGCGATCTGCAACGATAAATGTTCGGATAAATATTTAAACAAATGAGAATGTTTAATGACTTACTGTCTGCGGGCGAACTGCCATGAGCCTGTCTCTGTCTTCGTAGGATATGTTTAGCTGACTCCTGAAAGAAGTTTTGTATGGTATTTCTGGCAAGACAATGGTGTTACTATTTCCAACGAGTACTTACGAAGAATAGTCGATGTCCTTCGGTATGAGCATTCGTTCGTTTTGCTGCAATTCTTGCACCTCGTGCAACTGCTCCGAAATAGGAATTGAATATCGGGCTTCGATCTAGAATACATTGGATCGATAGAGCATTACCAATGACAAGTGACCGTTAATTTTGGTTATTCTTTTCAATTTTATGCGAACAAGGCGGTGCTTTGGGCTGCTTGACATCCTAATGTTATGCAGATCAGATCGAAGACCAATCTTCATCTTAAAGTGATTCTATCGCAGTGATTTATTCTTCGAGCACTATTATTCATGTAATTATGGCTACGATGCAATTCTTCGTAAAGCAAGTAACAATGAAATGTTCTCTAGATAAATAATCAGTACTTATGTCGTCGTTCTTATAAGATTATTATTTATTATTTACCTTCAATCTTTGGCATAAAGCAGTATCTTCGCTAAGAGGTCCAAAAACTTCTGGCATAGCCTTCGCTAATGTTGTTACATTGATGTCTTCGTGAGTATAGTGCAGCACATTGAAAGCCGACTGTACCTTCACGTTCTTTGTCATGTTAAGACCCAAAATTTTGCACCATTCAAACGGTGATTTAACAACTGACTTTAGGAGGCTAATGCCTGCTTGCAGTTTTTCCTTACTTTTTCGTGTCTTTTCCATTCTATAGTTCGAGACACAGCCGGATTCGTAGCCTTTCTCGGTCAGTCTTTGGTCGGCATTGTCAGGTCGCAAAAGTACACGAAATTCGGACCTGCTGGTGAACATCCTGTAAGGCTCTGTCGTACCTTGGGTAGTCAAGTCATCGATGAGAACTCCGATGTATCCTTCCGTACGATTTATAATTAAAGGGGGCTTGTTTAAAACCTAGAAAATTCAATGATGAATTCCTCGTTTTCTTAAATATTATTTATTTATAATTCTACCTTAGCTGCAGCGTTAACTCCTGCTACGATTCCTTGAGCAGCAGCTTCTTCGTACCCTGTGGTCCCATTGATCTGACCAGCGAGAAATAATCCTGGGACCTTTTTGGTTTCCAATTGGTAAGTTAATTCCCGTGGGTCTACGTAGTCATATTCCACTCCGTACCCTGGTGATGCTGTGAAATATTTTATTTACATAAATTTATAAGTACGATTATAATAGTAAGATCGTTAGCTTACTGTTTTTCATTCGTAATTCTTACTTAAAACTGCATTTTCTAATCCACTGATGGACCTAATGAGTTCCTCTTGCTTATCGGCAGGTAAAGTGCAAGATAAACCCTGGGGATATATTAAAGGAGAATCGAGTCCTTCTGGCTCCAACCATATTTGATGTGGGATTGGGCCAAATCGTAATATTTTACTTTCAATGCTCGGACAGTATCTAGGTCCTGTAACTTCTTCGGTAACGTGTAGATTGACGTGCATATTATCCTTTACTATTTTCCCAACTCTTTCGTTAGTGTATGTCAAATAAGTTGGCAACTGCTCTTCATAAGGTAGCCAAACTTTGTCGTTCAGGAACGAGAATGGCTCTGGTGGATTATCGGGTTGATAAAGCATACACTTTCCGAAGTCGATCGACTGCTTTTCAAGTCTTGGTGGTGTGCCTACGTAAGTATTTAACTAAGAGATTTTGTGATTTTATTTCTATGGTAGAATACTTTCCACTTAAAAAAAGAGTAAGAATTAATAGCTACCAGTTTTGAGTCGTCCCATTCTAAATCCCAATCTCTCCAAAGTATTCGCTAGTCCAATACTTGGTTCGTCCTTCAGTCTGCCAGCAGGCCTTCGCTCCAATCCAATGTTAATCTGACCCTTTAAAAAGGTGCCAGTTGTTATTACAACTGCATCGCCAAATATCTTTGTACCATCCCCTAGAAAATATTAATAATCAATTATTCAGGAAAAATTATTAAATCCATCACAACCAGTGCTGCTTTTTTGTAATAGTTGAAAAATATCACTCACTGAGAATAATTCCACAGCATCGAGGCGAATCTTCCTGTAGTATTAGATCTTCTACAGCAGCTTCTCGTATTTGTAATTCTTGCATATTAAATAATTCCGCTTGGAGATTCTGTTTATAAAGACCTCTGTCTATTTGAGCCCTGTGACCCCATACTGCTGGTCCTTTTCGACGATTAAGGATTTTGTAGTGAATCCCAGATTTATCACATATGCGCGAGCATACTCCGTCAAGTGCGTCAATTTCTTTCATGAGATGCCCCTTTCCGATACCACCAAAAGATGGATTGCAGGACATTTCACCTGAAATGAAATGCAATTTGTCAATATAAAACGTTTACACATATTGGTACATTTATTGTGGTCTACATACCCACAGTGCTTTTTTTGTGCGTAACAAGTAATGTTTTAGCTCCCATTCGAACAGCTGCAGCGCATGCTTCGGTTCCAGCATGGCCACCACCGATTATTATTACATTGAACTTTTGTATACTGCTCGATGTGGCATAATTTTTAATTGCACGACAATATGTCTGTCTATACTTAACACTATGAAGCAGTACTTTAATGTTGCCGAGTGACATTTTAATTTCTTTTTAATTAATGTAATACGATAAAATATAGAAAGAGAAATAGCGCATCTTATTTCATAGCATTCTTTCAATCTGGAATAATACAAGCTATTTTAATGATACTTTAGAAATATTCTAATTTATGCCATTCAAGGCATAATCAATTCAAGACAAGGTAATTGTTATTCTTTAAATTCCTATAAATTGAAATATATCTTAATGTGTCTTGTATTTTTGGCAAGATCAATTCCTTGCACAGATCTTCTTTACAAGAAAAATGAAACCCAGGGTATGTCAACAGATTTAAAAATTCAATGACGAAACTGAAGCAATTCATAGAAACTTCATTGTAATTATCAGCATTCCACTTGACATTTTTACGTATCGTCTCTAATGTACGATCCCAATGCGACTCCCAAGATTCAGGAATAACTTTTAACGACACACAGTTTGTCCAGTTAGAAAAATTGTTTATTATAATTCCACAGGTGTCGAATTCCACGATATACCCTTCGGAATTAACTACGGCAATATGTAAATCATCACTGACGTTATAATCATCAAGAAAGGTACCTGCCGATGGTCTCAAGACAATAGTAGTAGGGTTATGAATAGCATTAACAAAAGGATAAGGTATTCGGAATGGAACTAATAAGTAATTCGTAACAATGCTCTCACAGATCGGACAATTCTTTGGGACTTCTCTACAGAATATTGTATTCTCACACGTATGCCGAAAGCAAATTATTCCTGGATCTGTCATCGAAACCCCACAAAATGCGATCTCAAAATTACGAAAATAACCTCATTCAAAATACAAAATAAAACAATTAAACATTTGCTTCATAATGTTCAACCAATTTCACCAGTATCCCTTTTTGAGGTTAGGACCGTGACCACTCTTAACTGCTCCGTTCAATCATACCCATACTTGTTCCAAACAACTCAAAACTAATAAACCCCTTCAAATTATCTTCAAAATCTTCTCTAATTATATTTAAATGTTCAATTCCATTCTCTCCTAACCATTCACAAAATCACGACAGCCGATGCACAGCAGAGCCGCCACGTGTAGCGTTAAAGACACGAAGCTTTTAGAACCGTAGAAAAGACAAACTTTCTATTTTAACCTCTCATGGTAAAACTCCATCTTTTAAGGCACCAGCCTCACCGAGCGCGGCGCGTCACACTCCAGGGCTGAACAACCAATCCGACCGTCGCTTCACCTCGGCGTTATTTTCTTCTCAACTCTGATTGGTTCTTCATCCTTCCGCATAGCTTTGTATGACGCGATGCGCTTAATGCGACTCCGAGCTAACCTCGTCAGGCGAATTTTCAAGATGGCGGGTCGAGCGCGCGCGTCCCTCTCTAGTTCGGTCGGCGACCGCCGGAGGGCGGACGTAGCGCGGCGGCTTTCAAGCGCGCAGTGTCAACTGATCCGCGGAGCGGTTCGGTCGGTCGCGCGTCGCTCGTGTTTGAGCGATTGTCCGTCGCCGCGGAGCCCGGCTTTCCTCGCGGATCGCGTACGCCGAGTGCGACTCGCGTCCCTAAGGCTGTCTACGAGGTGCCCGTGTGTCGGTCGACGGTGCCCAGCGAGAGGATCCTCCCGTCGAGGTGAAAGGCGAGCCGCCGAGGGACGCATTCCGGCCGGTGAGTTTTAGGTTAAATTCCCCCAGAGCGACCTGGCCGCTCCTCTCTTCGCCGACTTCGCGCCGCTTCTTCGGGTCGTGCCGCGAGCACGTGACCGCACCGACGTGCACGGGCGAGCGTGAAATCCGCATGCACAAGTCCACGCGGCGTGCCTTCCGAGAGGTGACTGACACCTGATGCGTCGATGACCATGCCACGCGTCCGCGACCTCCATCGAGGTCGACTTGCTCGACCTTCGACCAAAAACTCAAATATTATTATAAAACATTCTTAATTTCCCCCTATATCAATATAACCTATAAACTGTACAAGTAGTATTTCATTTTACATAAAAATCCACGTTTAAATCTAACCTTTAACATTAATGGACATATTCCATTTCTACAATGAATCTTTACTCCAAACCTGAGGTATGATCACGGAAAACCACGAAGAATGATAATATCGTAGAGAAGGGTGCAGTGCATTTTATTTTCCCTGATTCCTCCCGACATTTCGGAGTCGGCGAAGGGTCGGTGCTGAATTTATTTGTTTATTCCCGAGTCCGCTCTGTCCAGAGTTGTTGGATTATTCGATCAGGTGTTTTCACCCGCCCGCCGAGGTCGCGTGGCCGTTAAGCCCCGACAATGAAAATGCCGTTATTCGAAAATAATCAGTCGAGAGGACGCGGAGCTATTTTAAACCTCTGAGTTAATCGGCCCAATTGCGCGACAGTTATCCGGTTGGCTCCGACTATTAATAATACCGATTCAATAAATAGCGATCCCTGAACATCCGGATTACGGTCTCGTTTGCATATTAAATTCCCCCCCTCCCCTAGGGGCTGTCAAGATGTGCAGAATTCTCCGTCCTTAATTTCAAATTGTGCAAATATTTACCTATTCTCCATAATTGCTCGTTTGAATATTTCTCCGTGTTTTTAACCGAAAACGAAACAAGGGGGAGATCCATATCGTAGGTTAACGACCGGTGCCCCGAGAGGCGTATCATAATTCCCGAAAGTTTCATCACTTCCTCTCTCAATGACCGCTCTTACGTGCCTCTCGTGGGGGCTCTCGGAAAATCGTGGAAAACGGACGCGACTGGTTTTTCGACTTTTCGAGGCGACCTTCGGAGGCAGGAAAGTCCCGCGATCGAGATTCTCGCGGCACATATATTTGCATTCGAGAGGAAAACGACCGTTCCGAGTGGAAGGATCGGCGAGCAAATCGTTTTAGAAACCTCTTGCTCTCTTCGGTACTCGCTCCGGTTTCTCAGGGGTTCTCCTTCTCCGTCGTTTCCCGGGAAAATCGCGAGTAAACCTTAAAAGCGCGTCTCATGTATCTTCTCTTTCGAGTTTACGTGTTTTCCTTTTTTTTTTGCATTTTTATTATTATTTCTTACAATTATTTTCTACGCCATTTTGTATGTATTCATTATTTTCTTTCTTTTTTATATTACTTTTTTTCCTTATCTCCATTTCACGCAGACGGCTCCGACGGTCGGGCTTGTCGGCGACCGGCGCGCCTAATTATCACCGAGTTGTGTTTATCTTTCGATTCGCTTTTCCCGCGTGCTCTCCCGCTACGCAAACGCGAAAGCCGCGTCACGCAGACCCGCGGTCGAGTTTTGCCGCCATCCGGTTATCCGGTCATCGGACCTATCGATGCATCGCTGGGGGGGGGATCGATACGCCGGGATAACCTGGATAACGTGCGGTCATGGGCGGATAAGAAATCGTGTATCACTATCCTTGAGTAATCTTTTTGTTGGATAGGGAACGATATAAATTAAACTTAACACCCAGAAAATATCGCCCCCGGTGGTTAGTTTATGAATTTCGCAGTTAATAAATATCCAGGGACTCGGTACATGATAACGTGGACGGATGGGAACCGATGTAACGTTGCTCCTACCAATTAGACTCTTAAATGGAACACCTTTGTTTAAATAATTTCTTTTATAAACTAATGAATTAATTTTAACATCCCCGAGGAGTCGCTTTCGCGCGGTATAGTTTCGCAGATTGTAAGCCTTGCAGACAAATCGTTCGTGAAATATATATGGAACTATTTTTTTCTTGTTTTTGTCCTACAATTTCGAAAAGTGCCCCCCTCCCCTCTACAGGGAGGAACACGATGCGTTCGATTAAAAAATAAAAAAGGAAAGGTTTAAAGGCCCAGGGCGGGGATCGCGTATCGAACGCCCTCCCGGGTCCAATTTAACGAGCAAAAACCTGGTTCCTTCCTTTTTTTTTCTCCACCCCTCCCTTTTTTTTTTATTCGACTCCCCGCGCATCGTCCAGATTCGTTAACCCCCCGCCTTTCAATAGACACACGCGGCACAATCGGCGAACACGGCCGATCCCCGAGTCGCGATTTTAATCCGCTCCGCAAACGAGTCCGAGTGTGTGCGCGCACTTGCGGATTTTACATTTTTTTTTTTTCTTTTTTTCCGTTGCAAATTGCTTCGCGACTCTCGACACGCGGTTCCCACCCCTTCGATCCCTCGTTTAGGTTCTCCGCGAAAGTTCCACGTCGATTTCTTATTTTTGGTTTCTATGCGTTTCAATTTTCTTTTTCTAATCTCTTGCCTATTTTCTCATCGCCATCCGTCGATCCGTAGAACGTGCGTTTGGTGCGTTTCAGAGAACGTTTCAGGTGGGCGAATAGAATTTCGGTTCGACTGGCTTCGATCGATCGAAATGTATTAGTAGAATCTTTTTGTAGACCTTGGAGGATAGTTTGGTCGGTTAACCGAATATCTTTTTTAGCATTAAATGCGATATTGTTATTATCGCAACATTTACCGGGATTTATCGCGGTATTTCATGGGATTGGTTGAAACTTATCCAGGGAAATTTATTTGATCCAGGAGTTTATCTTTTGCCAGGTCAATCGTACGCTTGGTTGTCCATGTGATAAGCGAAAATAGTTTTTTTTTATTTTGTTGAACTGAGAATAACACTTTTGGATTTGGTCTTTGCGCGCGTCGAATCGCGCGGCGCGAGGCCGCGTCGGTTAATGCGGCGTTACGCAATCACCGTGCGGAATTGCCGTCGACGATTCGTGCCGAGTGAAACCTCCGAGTGCATCGCCGTCTCGTTGACCCTCGTTAAACGCTGAGACTCGGTTCTATATTCCTTCTTATCACCTTATCGAGCCGCGACGGCCAAGTCGCGCTCCCGAGCTCCGATCCCGCAAGTAGGAATGAAAGTAACTCGCAAATCGAAAAATCACGTATGAAAAATTATACGCAAAACGAACAATTTCCACATAGGGACGCCCTACCATAAAATGATTCAAACCGTTCGATTAACACCGCCGATATTAATCACTCGATTTTTATTCCAACAAGTCAGGATCTTTATTTTTATCAGCCCTGTTTGTCCGTGCCCTCGTTACGGCGCGTTACTAACGTTACATGTTTCAAGTAACTGTACCCACTTTTGTAAAAAAAAAAATAATAACAATATAGCGCGATCATGTCGCCATGAGATGTAGAGTCGAAAACTGGAGTAAGTCTTATTAATTGTAACGTGCGTTTGCGGGAATGAAATGATAGGTATTTCTTTTTTTAGTGTTTTAATTTAAGAAAATCTGCAATTCGTTGGGAATTTCGGGGATTTTCCTGCGGGACCGCGATGGGAAGAGGGGTTTCGGAGGAAACTGAGAAACTGTAGGTCATGAAGGTAAATACAGGTAATGAGGGTTTCAGGTGCAGGAGAGACGAGTGTTCCGGAAAACCTCGAGACTTGCAAGACTTGCGGGGGGTCCCCCCCGCTCTCGGTGCATCGGTGCATCAGTGTTTCGGTTTTCCCGGCACGTCCTTCGTAACTGTTAGGCTCCGGGCACGTAAAACGATAACGGGCTATCCGCTGGAGTCATGTGGCCTTTAAAAAGGATATGAATATCGGCTCTGCCAGGTAATAATGCGCCGACGTTGCGCGGGTGTCGCCCTCGGGAGAGGGGGCAGGAGAAAAGAAAAAGAGAAAAAAGGGAGGGAAAAAGAGGTCAGAGGGAAAAAAATGACTGCCCTCCGGCAATATTGGATCCCCCGGATATCTTTCGGCGAGGGGGAAAAAGGGCTGCAGAATTTTGTTGGAATTCTTTTCTTTCTTTTGTCTCGCAGATTAATCCAAATTATTCGAAATTTGTAATTATCTTCAATTATTCGAGATTATTCGCAATTATTTCCCCCCTTAACAAGGTTCTCCTTGTCTCTTATTTCTCGGCTTCGTTTTATTCCGCATTGTCCTTCCGCCGTCGGTCTATTTCCTTCGTTTCTATTCCGGGCTCCTCCGCGGCGGTTCCGCGTCCAGAAATGCGGAAATCCTTCTTCTCGCGGACGAATTCCTCCCCCCTCGAAACGGGAAAGCAATTCGAAGGCAGGGATTGAATTTGGGAAAAAGATTAGTGGGACCACTTGGCATGGAAAGGCGTTCGCGTGGCGAACGCAATATTCCGTACTTTTAATGCGATTTCCGTGTAAACGGGGCGCTCTTGTATTTGGACTCTTTATTTTCCGCTTTCTTTGTTTTTCCTTTCGATTTTTCTTTTTTTCCTTTATTCCGCCGGGTACGTTCGCTCGGTATTTTCTGATTTAGATTTATTTCTGCCCCCTGGGAGGAAGAGGGAATTCCTGGGGGAGAGGAGCGAGGATGCTCCTTCTCCTTCTTCTCCTTGTCCCGGGGGTACTGGATGAATCCGCGATTGACTTCGGGGTTTCAATATCCGCCTGGGCGGCCGGCGGGGAATCGACGCGATTGGACGATAATTTTAATTGAAATTCCAGCCGCCCTGGAAAAGGTAGAAAAGCCAATCAAGAGCCGAATCGAGCTCGACGGCTCGCCGCGACTTCCAGGGCGGACCTTCGCCGAAAATCCATTCTTCGGACTGATTGGACGTTTGGCGATGACAAACGCGTCCCTCTCCCTTTCTTTTTCCTTCATTTTTCACCACCGATCCATTTTCATTTCGATGCCGAGTCGCGTCTAATGATCGAACCGATTGACCTCCATC